TTCCAGGGGCTGCAGTTGCCCGGCACGAAGGAACATGCAGGCAGTCTAAAATGCCACTTTGAGTTGCACTCTGCCTGCCTGACCTATCCTGTCAGTGTGGCTTTTGAAGGGGCGGCAACTGGCACGCAGGGAAGAAACACCTCATGTCAGTGCCAACCGCTGATTTGTCTCTGCATGTCGCCCACCCACCTGTGTTCACTCTCACCACCTGCCCCATCACTTCCTGCTTCAACCCGCTCACCAGCCCACTGTCTCACTGGTTTTGTCTTATGTGTTCTTTTGAAACTGCTTTCATCCCACTTCCCCTTGTTCTTTGCATGCAGGTAGGAAATAGATAAAGATGTGTTTGTGTGAGACTCCTATTATGAGTATGTGTTGTGATGGGGTCACAGTGCAGAGTCAAAAGGGTCTCCAAAAACAATCGTATACAGTCTTTGAGGGCAAACACCAACGTGTGCCTGGGAATGTGGGGCAGGGGGGAGGTGTGTATTTGGGAAGTATGAATTTATGGGTTGTAAATGTAAAAATCATCCTTTAAAAGAATGGGTTCAGATTTATTTTTTCCTTTTTAAATTATTTTAAAGCACCCTCATGAACTGTTGGTGGAAATGCAAATTGGTATAGCCACTGTGGAAAACAGTATGGAGGTTCCTCAAAAAATTAAAAATAGAATTACCATATGATCCATTAATTCCAATACTGGGTATTTACCCAACAAAAATGAAAACACTAATTCAAATAGATAGATAGATATAGAAAAATACAGATATAGATAGATAGATAGATAGATAGATATAGATATCTCCTTGTGTTTCCTGCAGAATGGGTTCAGATTCAGATGGAACAGGGGAGATGTTGGTGTGGGAAATGGGTCCAAGCAGGCTAATTGTCGAAATGGATTTCCACCTGGAAGGCTGTCCACCAACGTCCATGATGGGCTGCCAAGTATGATAAGTTGGACTGAAGTAGGAAACAGAGCTCAGACACTGGAACCAGCATACATAGGTTTAAACCTCAGCTCAAGCATTTGTACGCCACTGAGTTGAATAACCTGCCTAACGTCTCAATTTCATCCTCTGTAAAATTGGGATAAATATAGTACTTGCTTCCTACAGTCATTAAATGAGACAAAACATGTAGAACACTTAGTCCAGTGCCTCTGCATATAGTAAGTGGTTGGTAACACTAGTTAACCGGAATTACAGGAATACTAAGGATTAGAAGGAACACTTATGGCCAGCGGAAGGGGGTGGTCAACTGGACAATGTCACTCTGGTCTTGGGTTAAGCTATTTCTACTCAGGCATAGCGTCAGACAATTACAGGACATCTTTTCTAAAATACCTGCACTGATGGGAAGGAAAAAAAGAAAAAAGAAAGAAAAAGGCAAGCTGAGATTGACTTTCCCAGAGCCATTCAACCAGTGAGCAGCACAACCTGGCTTCAAAGAAGCTCTGAGTTTATAGACCCTACTCCATGCTGCCATATTTCACCCCTGACAGCTGAATTCCTGCGGCTGGCATCACCAACACACCTTTCCCATCTCTCTATACCTGTTCAGTCATTCAGCAAGACTTTTCTGACCCACGACTATATGTGAAACTCTGTCCTAGGTTCTAAGGATCAAACCAGACATGGTCCCTTTGTTTATGGAGCATACAGGCTGAAGGGGAGGGAAGACTTTAATGAAACAAACTAAATAAATGAAATGGAAGTAAAATTGCAAGTAGCAAGGGGAGGCTATAGGGACAAGGACTGTAGCTGTTGTGCACGCCTGTGTCCTCTTTACTGAGAACAGTGCACTACTTGTGGCAAGCCCTGGCATGCACTTGCTGAATGAATGCTAGCAAGTACACCTTGGTGAGAGTGGCCTTCCAAAGTATTATGCGGGAGACTGCAGTGGAGGACTGGCCTACTCAGAGAGGTCTGGGAAGGCTTCCCTCAGGAAGGGAAGCTGAGAGGGGAGTGGTTACTAACCAGGTAGAGCAGGCTGGGTGGATTACGGGGATTGGAGATGCTGTAGTAAAGGGCACAAGAGACCCTGGAAGAAAGGAATGCACAGTTCAGTTGAGCAACAGTCTTGGCAGCCGTACAAGGGAAAGCAGCAACAAGAGGGGCTGTGTCCCAGGTGTTGGCAAGCAGCAGAAGTGACTACAATACCTTGCATTTACACAAGTTTCAATTTGTCACACCTCTGTGGTAAACACTGTCTTATGGACCATACACAATGACAGGCAATAGGCCAGGAAACATCATCCACATTTTAGCTGGGTAAATTGAGGCCTGTAGACTTGGCATATTGTTAAAGTCAGGCATCTAAACATAGCACCTGTGGGGCTCTCTCTCTCTGTAAGACCTACCCAGTCCTCTCACCAGGCTTTTAAAGAAGGTACTGATATCCCAGTAGCACACAGGAGGAAAGTATGGCTCAGCAAGATGAGATGGCTGACATGTGACTGGCTGGATTGGGATAGGAAGCTGTGTCTTCCCTGTGGACCAGATTGTATTTCCCTGCATTCATATATTGAAGACCTAATATCCAATGTGTATTTGGAGATGGAGCCTATAAGGAAGTAATTAAGATTACATGAGGTTATAACGGGAGGGCCCTGATTCCATAGTATTAGGGTCACAATAAGAAGCCATGCCAGAGAGCCCTGTTTTTCTCCTCCTGCCTCTGCCATTGCTATCTGTGTCTCTCCATATTCCACACCTACTTAGAAGAAATGCCATGTGACCTCAAAGTGGTCATCTACAAGCCAGGAAGAGAGCCCTCATCAAAAACAGATGGCAGCTCTTCCTGGCTTGATGCTGGACTTCTGGCCTCCAGAATTCTGAGGAAAAGCATTTCCATTATTGAAGCCACCCAGTCAATGATACTTTGTTAGGTCAGCCCTATAAGGCTAGTCCAGTCTTAGTACACATTTGCTGTTGTTACCTACTGTGGCATGCCTCTTTCATTAGTGGTAGGGAAGCACAAGAAACTAGATTATCTGGTTTCAGTCCTAGGTTCCCTTTCTTGGCCATATTCAGTACCCCTTGTGACCCCACTGAGTGGGGAATGGCAGGGTGAGAGTCAGAGCATCACACCCATCCCACCCTATCCCCTCAGTTTTATCAAAAACCAAGAGATAACAGTCAAAGAGCTCAACGTGTGGGCAGTGCAAAGTGGCCCATGATCCTCCTAGATCCAGAGCTAAGAAAACTGACAGTTATAGAGCTGATGACGGGTCTGGAAAATTCAGATGTTACCACTTTGTATGTGACTGAGATCAAGCACAGGGATATAGGGCTGTGAGGCAGCTGTGTGTGGAAGTACAGCTAGGCACCTGCCGCTGCTTCATCTAACATGCATGACTGTGTGAGTGTGCACACGTGCCCATCACTCTCGTTATCCATGATCTGATGAAAGCCCAGTCCAGCACCTACCCATTGGTATGTGTACTTCCATGTTACTTAACCTCACTGGTCCTCCTTTTACTCATCTTTAAAATAGAGTTAATAACCAGCTATGTACAGTACTAACAAAATGCCTTGAATCCAGTAAATATTTGGTAAATGGTAGGTATTATTACTGTTATTATGAATAATGACTCCCAAGTACTTCTATTTTAAAATGAAGTTTATAGAATTAAGTCATTATCTCTTTTTTGCCTTGAGCTAAAAGAATAAGACATTCGCACTAAGGTGACTTCCCCATGGAGACAATCATTTGATAATCCATTTCATCTCTGTGCTGGGTTCCTTTTGATGCTATTGTGTGCAGAAACAGCAGAATACTCATCTATTTGAGAGGCCACCAAGTCCAAGTGTATTACTTTGGGGGCAAACCCTTTCCCCCAAAATATAAAATGATGTGTGTACTTGAAAGCCATCATATTCTACATGCTTGTTACCTAAACTATGCAAACCAAACCCACTGAAGTCTGTCTACTAAGAATACGTAAGCCAAGGAGGAGGAGCAGGCAAGCCTATCTTTGAAGTAGGTTTTAATTCAAAACCATAGGCATTCAGGCAGGCAGAGGAAGGAAGGAACATGCTGTACCCACCTGCCACTGCTGATGAGGGGCTTATTTCTAAGACACACACAGCACAATGCACACACAATGCAGAGAGAAAACAAAAGACATAGATCACACATTTCAGATGGTTGGTGGACAAAGTTTAGTTAATGTCAATGCTGAAAGCTCGTTCAGGGTCTGAAATACACATGGAAAAATGAATACCTTTCCATCCCACACACCTCTAACCAAATTTCAGCAAATAAACAAATACATACACACACGAAATATCACAACAAGCTGACTCTGGCCCATGATGTGAAATGGGGCACAAGGAGATGGACACATCAACGTGGGAAGGCTGAGTGAGGGAAAGATAAGGGCTTCCAAGGGCGCCAGTCAGGGCTCTGGAGACCTCTCCATCCATACGGGAGGAAAAGACCTTCAGAGAAGGGTTTGATTCTCCAGCGGTGGACAGAACAGTTGTCTTGATGCGGACACAGACTACTGCTCTATCCACTCCCATGAAGGATAACATGACATGGCAATCCACATGAGAATCATGATGGCAGAAGTTGACTTGGTTCAAATCTATAAATATAACCCCCAGAATTATAGACTCTTCCCATAGAAGGTATCTTAATTTTTTTTTTTTTTTTCCTAACTTACCCCCGCAGACTGTTGGGTACTACATTTGGAACTTTTCCATGGTTCTATGTTCTTTATGGCAACCACCATTCAACTCGGTTCAGAATTGGGTTTACTCCTTTTGTAAGGTGCAAACCTTGCCTTTCAATGGACCAGAAGATATCAATTACCTTGTAAACATCACTATATCACATGCTTAAGAGAATGACAAGGAGAAGTACTTCATCTCTAAGGATGGTGGATTGAGCAGTATGGATGGACACAGGCCAAGCAGATCAAGCCTTCCTCCCTCTGTAGTCCCACAGTTCTCCCTCATAGCTGAGCCCACTGTACCCAGGCTTCTAGCACTCACCATACAGTGTGATGCTAGCGTTGGTGTTCCCAAGCTTGTTTGTGGCCACACAAGTATAGTTCCCATAATCCTTTTCTGAAACATTGAAGAAAGTCAGAGTGGATATGCGGCCTTTGTTCTCAATCCTCATGCTGCCCAGGCCGGTGGCTAGCCTGCAATAAGAGAAGGTATTGCTGGTCTGGTTCTACAAATAGAGTGAAATAGCAGACAGAGATGCTGGGGGGAACTGAAAGATACCAGAGATGAATTCTACCAGGAGCCTCTGCCCACAGACACCTTTTCTCAATCTGAACCAATCCCTCTGACCCAAAACATGAGTACCACAGCCTCCACAGGAGGAAAAATGAAAGGATGCTCATGTTCCAAAGGTGAGATTCACTGGCTTCTAGTCACTAAGGGCTGCCATGTCTACAACTAACCTCCGATTCTGAAATGAGGTCAGTTCATTTTCCCAGTGGCCAGCTTCCTTGATTTTTGTGTTTGTTTCTGGCTCTAGAAAGAGACTCTATTATAAAGGGGACTAATGCATTTTGGTTTTGCCATCTTTCCCCTTTACTTTATCATTCTCTTTCCAAGTGGAGAATGATCCATCAGCTCTGCTTCAGATATGCCTGATTTTTGTTTTCAAGGTACCTGGTGTCTTCCTTGAACCACTGGAATTCAGCCATAGGCACTGCAGAGGCTTCACAGCTCAAGATACCTTTCTGACCAACGGACACACCAGTGTTCTTGGCTTTTGAGATATAGGGAGGGTCTGTGGGAGGAAAATGCAGAGTGATTTCATGAAACAGATGAAAGGCACATTTAGTCACCTGCTGTGCAAATGGATTTCTTGTGCCACCCCACCTTCCTAGTTAAACAACCATTTATTTTAGGAAAAGAGTTTCCTGCTCAAGGTTATTGCATTTACCCCAGCATCTTCTTAAGCCTTGAAACCAATTCAAAGTTAACAATTCTCCCCATTAGCTAAAAGCTCTGATGGGCACAGGTAGACTCCAGGGGCAAAACGGCAATGGGGACAGTCATGGTGCAAAGCAATCTGAGAATATATTTTCCTGTTGGAAACAATTTGGGACGATCAGAAAATGACGTTGCCATGAGCAGCTTGCTCCCTCAGTCCCTATATTCTCTTTCCCCCTGAAACTTCCTGACGATGGGTCAACTCACAGTTTACAGTGATTTTTACTTTCCGCACATCAGGTGCGGCGACATCATTCAGGGCACTGCATTCATACTCCCCAGACTGGTCACGTTTGATGTCAGAGATTTCCAGGTATTCATCCTCACTCACAAAGCCCTGGCCTTCTGGAAGAAAGAAAGAAAGAAAGAAAGAGAAAGAAATAATCAAGAAGCTGTGAAACCGGGGACAGAACTGTATTCACATCATAAGCATGTAGAGGAAAGAAGACAAAAAGCTGTAAAAATGAGGTTTGAACATTGAGTCAAAGATTATAAGGTAACATGTTGACCAAATAGTATGGCATTTGGGGAAAGAAATTCTCTGCTTGAGTCTTGGGTCATTGTGTTTTTGTCTAACTCACTTTAACTTTTCAGATCATTTGAAAAGAACAGATTTTCATTATTTTTCTGATATGATTATGATGAGGATTAACTAATAGAAGACATATGAAATACCTAGCACATTACTAAACTTCATTGTTTTAAAGAGAATTTTCATGATCAATAATACAATAAAAAATGTGGGAATAACTTAAGAGTGTGTTAGCATGAGCATCTTAATTTTTCATTATGTAGAAATCCCTTCATGGGGCACCTGGGTGGCTCAGTCCATTAAAAATCTGGCTCTTGATCTTGGCTCAGGTCATGATCTCAGGGTCATGAGATTGAGCCCCTAGTTGGACTCCATGCTGGGCGTGGGGTCTGCTTCAGATTCTCTCTCCCTCTCCCTCTGCCCCCCCACCTCACTGTCTCAAAAAAAAAAATTCCTTTGGATACAGAACTCAAACAACTAACGACAGGTAAAACAAATAAGTGACCATTTAATAGTTTAATACAGATAGATGCAAAGCAGTTGATTCGGTTTCAAAGTGTCCTAGAGAAGATGAACTGGAGAAAAATGAATATGGAAGCATTTCGTAACTGCTCTGCATTAGGTGCTCAATAAATGATAGACAGCATAAGATAAACATCATAGCCCCATATGATGGACCCGTGGTCACTAGAACAGCCTTGTGGATTTAATACCCAACTTTGAGGGACATTCTGGAGGTTTTATTCCTAGGCACCTGTGAAGCTTGGAATTCATGATCAAAATATTGTAGGGTTGCAAAATATGTGTTGTTTACAACCCTCATGATGTGTCTTACAACAATCTGGCTCCTTTGTCTTATCCCTTACCGCTCTCCCTGTGGTTCAGTGCAAAGAGAACAGACCCTCTGTCTTGAATCCCAGATGTTTTCAGTTTTGTCAAAGCACCAGACTCCTGTGAAAACCCAGCCAACACAAAGGCCAGGGATGAAGTAGAGCCATTTGAATTTCTTGTAGGCCTACTGCCTGATTCTTTTTTGTGTTCCAGGAATTAGAGTGAAAATAGTTTTCAGGAGGATAAAAACACATTATAACTTCCCTCACACCTCCCTATAAACATATTCCTATCCAATGGGTGTTCCATCAACTAAGTCTAAGTCCACCATGGATGTGGAACAGCAGGAAAGTGAGGTGTAGGATGATGAGAAAGGGGTAGGGAGACAGGTGCTTTAACATCCCGACTTTGCTCTAAGTCTAACCTCTTGGGGAGTTTCCACCCACCCTGCCCATTTCCTCAGACCACTTGCTTTTCAGGTCCTGTTTTCTTCCCTGCCTCCAACCCCCACCCCAAGTCCTAACTACCCAGGCTCTGTCATCAGTTACCAAGTACATCCCAAGCAGGTGTGGGTCCTCTGGCAAAATATCTTTCACACAGCCCCTCTCTGTATAAAAAATCAGATTCATCCAACATCAGCACCATCCTGGTAGCCCAATCTCATGCAATTACATGAAAGAAATCTTGCATTGTCAGGAGGAGCAATCCTTTGCCAACATCCTAGAACGTGGACCTGTGGACTGCATCCCCAAACAAGCCCACAGGTATGAGTCTGGGGATCTCAGGGAATCTGGTTGAACCCATGTAAAGAACGGCCAAGAGTAGAAGTTGGAAATGCACCCTGAAGAGGAGAAATGGGGCTCAGAACAGGACACACACTCCCAGTTTGGTATCTGAATGTCTCTCCTTAATAGTGTTTCTGGCATTGGCTGTTCCTAGGCACCAGAGGAGGACTTAGAAAATGTCAAAGAAGACACTCTAGAGCATGGCGCCCACTGGGGTTGGGGTGGGCCCTATTCACTGGGATCTCAAGGCAGTGGTGCTGGTCATAAGCCTGCCACCACAGCAGACACTTAATCATTCAGGCTAGTTCATATCTTAATTCCTCAAGATTCATTAGAGGGATAGAAAAGTCTTCTCATCCTTTATTCCTTATTTCTCCCAGATTTAACAGAATCTCATAGTTGAAGAAGGTTTGGGGATCACTTATTTCAGGAAGTCTATGAGGATATAAAAATTGCCTCACTTGTTGAAATGATGTTGGTTGGCCAATCTAAGTATACAGCAATGAAATCAAATACACCAAAACAACGTCCCAGATTCACTTTGCCTTTTCTGCAATGAACAAGTATGGCAGGATCAAAAGGGTGCCTCCTTACTACTAAGATGCCATGATTTGTTCAAAATGTTCTACAGTGCATTTGCCACAAGTAATTAAACCCCACTGCATCTGACCAAACAAAAGAGCCACCTGCACCAGGCCTGGCGGGAGCCTCAGGCAGGGTCACTGAGCCCGTTTCCGTGCAGAGAATAAGATAGAACCATACCATGCTACATAGTAACACCGGGCGCATGTCTTAAAGATCCTGATAAGGCAGGTTTATAGATGCTATTCTCTTTAGAAGTGCTGGCTTGTGCAAAGGGACAGGATCACCTTAAAGAAGATGGAAGCCAGTGTGCTGGGACCCTAAGGTAAGAGTAGGGCAGATCCTGGGTCCTTCATGGAGGAATTACTGGATGATACAGCCACCCTCTGGAAAGTGGGAATGTATTTTTCTTATCTGTAATGTTGTTTTTATGGAACACTTATATGACAGCAAAAAAGGGAGGAAGGAAGAGAGCGTTTCGTGTAAAATGGGGATCATTACAATAATACTACCTCATTAAGTGAGAAAATGAATTTTGTCAAGTTCGTACTATAAAGTAAATGCTTTACAGATTTTAATTTGCATATACATCCCTCTGGAATCTAAAAAGTACATAGGTTCTGACTCAGTAAGTCTAGAGTGGGGCCTGGGATTCTGCATTTCTAACCAGTATCCAAGGTCTCCAAGTTGCTGCTCTGGGACCCACGCACTGGGCAGTGAAGCTACAAGGCACCAAAACATGCTCTTCTCAGCTCACTCTTGTCACCCATTTGTAATGATCTGGGTCTGTGAAGTGGCCACTTGGTCAACAAAGCTTACTGAGCACCTCTCATGCCGAGATCCTTGTGGTGCCTGCATCTCAAGAGACACCCTCCTCGGAGTACAGCACTCAGTCAAGTGCACTGAGGTCAAAGATCTGGACCCCTGAAGATAACTGAGTGTTTATAGTCTGCATGCTGTCAGTTTTCTTTGCTAAGAAATGGGAAGAGGACGTTGAAGCCACTCCCCATCTTAGGCCCACTGAAAGTGATGGAGATGTCATTTTTGTTACTGCTTTGAATACCAGGTGAACAAATTGAAGTTGCTAAATGCCTACAGACCTAAGAAACTGCAGGGTCGAATGCTTTCCCTGGCCTCTCCTGTTCCAGTTGAGTGTCAAATTCTGACTCCATCCTGCAGCAAAAGGGGCAGAAGGCAACAAACGTTTTAATCCTCTTGTGCTTGCCAGGAAGACAAACTGCTGATGTGGAGGGAGAGGAAAGAAGACAGGTAGGAAGAAACTTGAGGGAAGAATAGGAGAGGAAGGAGAAGGAGGAGGAAGAATAGGGTACTGATACGAGGAAGGAAAGAAAGATGGGGGTGGGTGCCAACGAGATGGCTTGGGTGTCACTGGAAAGGTTCTGAAGACACATTCAAAAGGGATTAAAGGAAAAACACAGGCTAAAAGGACTACAATATTTTCTCTGATGAAATGTATGAAAACGGGAGTCCCAAATCGGCTTCACAGTTTTGCTTTGTGGTGAGATGTCCCTTAATAAGCCAATAACCCAAAGGCTGCCCTATATATTCAGACATCCTCATATAACGTGATTGGAAGCAAAAGGAAGTGAATTCTGAATCATTGGCAGAAATATATTTTTAGAAAGGGGTTATTTCTTCCCACAGACAAGTACTTGTGAGAAGGTAAGTTCAATTCACTGTAGCAGTGAGATTAAGATCTGCAAGAATACAAATGGGGCCATTTATCAGGGGATGAAGGAGGTCCCTAGGCCAGGACCCCTCAGATGCAGGATGCATGAGTGAGCCCCATGGTTCTGCGTGCACGGGGGGCTTCTTCTGCGGGGAGGCAGATTCTGACCCAGCCACAGACTGTAAAGAGCAAGACATGGCCACAAGCAGGGCCTGCCATCTTAGAAACAAAGGAGCAGACTGAGAAACAGCTTCAGGGAAGGACCCCTGGTGTGACCTGCTTTCCCGACATCACCTGCAGTCATTTTACCCACATGTACCTGGGTTAGACACTGGGTGTTGGGCGGAGACAAGGTAGAAGACAAGGCCCTTGACCTTGGGTAGTCTACAATCTCGTGAGCCTAGAACTCAGCAGTTTATATTTTTCTATCCCTAGGCTCATTTTTCAGTTCCTAATTGTTTTTACATCCCTCTAGTAAAAGATGGTGGGCTAGAAAGATTTATTAGAGCTGGAAGCAACGTAAGCATTCAGGGATGAAGAGACCAAATAGGAAATCCGGACTAAAATCTAGATGCGTCCTGACCTGGTTCTTCTTCTTTCTGTCCCCCTTCCCATCCTGCCCTTCCATGCCAACCATCTCTCAGCCACCACTCTTATGCTTGATTTTTTTTTTTCCCTCACATAGGCCCTTAGAATTTTACAGTTCTAAGCACCAAAGGGCTCAAAGATTTTAGTTTTCTATGCATTTTTTTTTTTTGGATTATTGTCCCTGATGGAATATCTTCACCTATTCTGCATAAATATCCCCAGGGATGATTTCAGAGGGAAGCCCATTCCTTTGTTAGATTATTTACATCATCCAAAAAAAAGTCATCCTCATATAGAGCAAAGCCTGCCTGGTGTCTCCCTTTGAAATGATTAAAAG